ACTTCAGCTTGTTTCAACTTCATGGCCTTTTTCAGTGTTGCTCATTTCGAATACAATAACAGCCTTGTTTTTCACCAGTTTGCACAGGCAAGTTCTGTAACGTGTGGTATCTGTGATGGAAGAATTGGGTATTTGGCACATAATAAGTGAAACCTCATCAGAATATGAACCAGATTACAAGGATCTTAAACATTGATGGGTTTATATTGTAGACATCAGTGAAATCAGAAATTCATTAGCTGTTGGGGTAAACAAAATGAAGAAGCATTTCAAAAATACAACAGAAGATAAAAGAGAGACCCAGTTCTTCTTGGTGTGTACTACCTGCATAAATATAGCTTGGCCAGTAATATACTGTGGCTACTTAGCTGTCCGGTTTTTGTTTCCAGGTAAATAGAGAGATAATTTGCTATTACATTTTCACTTTCATGCCAATGTCATTAATCACCCAGTCTTTCTGTCTCATTGATTTTAAGAGCTCTCTTGATTCATTGAGAGGAAAGCTTTATCTTATATTCAGCAAGCCTCCCCTGTATTGCTGGTTCAGCCTCTTGATATAGTTCAGTTGCATTAATCTCCTCCTACTTGTCCTTTACACCTCCTTCCCCCAAAAATGATTACACAATTTTGGAAGATCAGAAGCTGGGAAAACAGCAAGACAGGCTTGATTAAAACCAGAAACTGATTATCAAAACCTAACTGACTGGAGATCAATTCCTTCTTTGTAATTAACTCAGCAACTCAAAGGGGATAATTTCTTTATCCTAAATTAGAAGATAAATAATATATAAGGATGAACCACTCATTTAAGGGGTGTAGTTTAATCAGTTATCTTATTACTATTGAGTTAAGAATAAACCAAATTGTGATTCCCTTCTGAGTGCTGGTATCTGAAAGTAGTGGTGAAGAAAGGGGGTGATTATTTTCCTAAATTATGATCATCAAATTTTCATCAGTATTTGATTTAGAAAATTAGAAAATTTTAATTTTGAATACCAAACATAATATAAAACCTGAGCCTAACAGATAGAGGATACACTGGGAAGCAATTACTCACTTTGAGTTTTATTCAAACAAAATTGAATTAGCTTTTTATTGTCCTGATTAATAATGCTTTCATCGTGTTTTATAAAAGTGACTTAATTTTGTCGATGATTCAAACAGTCTAAATGCAGTGGATAAATGTGGCTCCTGAAAAAAAAAAGAGGTCAAATGTTCTCTGTGTGTTGTGGGGTTTCAAGTCTTGGGGTCAAAGTCAGCACTATTGTCAGAGCATGACGAACCAGGATTTGTCTTTTGGGAGAAAAAAAGAAGGCAGCAAAGAGGGTGTTGAAATGAATAGTTTGCTCAAAGCAAGTCCAGAAATTATTCAGACCAACTCTTAATTTTATGCACAAGCAGCCAGATGGGTGAATAGACTTACCCAGTGTCACCCAGCTGGTTAATGGCAGACTAAGGCCTGAGAGGGGCCTCCTGTGTCCTTTTTGGGTTTTTCTTTTTTTCCCTCCCCTTTTTCCTGCTCTTTCAGTAATTGCAGAGATTGGGAAATTCAGGAACGTTTATCTCTTTACTGGTAGATTCCCCTCGCCCTTCATGAAAGTGATGTTCTATGTTTATATAATTTAAAATGGGGCCAGTGTTTGGCTGCTTTACAGTTTCTGAATTTTGTATTTTCCTGCAACACTCTCAAATAATGATAGTATTGTACAATTTTTTGCTGTTAATATTTGAAAAATATGTCCATTTTTAGGTAGAAGATGACCGGCAGTTTCTTCTAGGATATGAGTTTAGGAAATATAGAACTGTTATATTGAGGATGTTTGGAATCATGATTCATATAACATGACCTATTACTTGTAGGTTTTCACCTATGTGGTATACAGGCCTAGTGACAAGATAACATTTTAAAAAGTAAATCAAATTTAAAGAAAAGTCAAGTCTAGAGTGCCCAATATTTTTTAACCTTTTCTTATATAATTTCTTTATCGTGTCCTCAGGAAGATGACTTTTTAAATAAACCTTAACTCAAGGTAAGTTAACTTCAAAAAATTGATGACTTGTGAAAATCCTGAAGGTTGCTTAGGCTGTACTGTCTCACAGGCCAACGTTCATGCTATTCTACAGCTATGGACTGTCTAATTCAACATTCTGTATTGTTAATCTCAACAAAGAGTCTTTCCCCATTCAACCTGATTGGATTCTGTATCTTTTGGATTCTTGATACTGTTTTTGGCTTTTGGCTAGGAAGATATGGAGAGGCTATACATCAAATGAAGTATCAGATGCTATGGGTGTAACATTGCACATGCTGAATATTGTTTATTTGGCAAATATATTTGAAGGAATTCCTATCTTGGGAACCAGCACTGTTGCCATATGTACTTTGAATTGGCCTGGAGGAAGCAGTCAAGTAGCATAGCACAGTGGCTTAAAGTACAAGGGAGTTTGTTCTTGCATCATGTCACAGCCCAGTATAAGTGACCTGGGTCAAGAAAGCAGCTCTGCTCCACATGGTCTTCAGAGATGGGTTCTTTGCTTTTTGTTGATTTGCCATCTTTGAGGCAGTAATTCTCAAACTTTATGGTGTCAGGACCCATTTACTCTTATAATAATTATATAGGATCTTAGACCTTTTTTAATATAATTCATATTAACTAGTGTCATACTATTGATATTTATTGTAATGAAAATTGAAGCTGAGGAATTTAAAAAACATTAATTTATGTAAGATAGCAACAATAAATCCTTGATATGGTAACATAAATGACTTTTGAAGAAACATAGCTATAGGCAACTATAAAAACAACTAAAAGCAACTATTTTCTATGCTTTTCATTTAAAATTAATTTGAATTATTGAATATTTTGCAGGTGGCAATGTATTACTAATGCTATTCATGTTTGTAAATATAGAGCAAATGTGAGGGTTTTTCTTTTACTGTTCTTATTTTTTGCTTTTCTTTTAAAACAAAAAATTAGACATTTTTGCAATTCTCTTTAATATACGGTTTAGTAGAAGAGAGCTGGCATCTCATTCCTCTTTTTACATTAAGTATGTTGCAATGTGTTCTTTTAGTTGAAGTATTTGAAGAAAATATGAACTTATATGATATGTAGAGGAGGCTTTTCAGCTTTTTTCCCTCTGGAGAATAGCGCAAGGAAAGGGATGTTTAGAAGAAATGATGTTGGAGATATGACTTGGTCCTTGAGATATAGGGAAATATGCACTCTTCCTTCCACCTGGCCATTCCTCTTCTCCATCTCCTGGCTACCTTCTGCTTGTCCTTCTGTCTTGAACTACAATAGCACCTCCAAGTGGAGCCTTTCCCACCCACCTCACCCTCCAAGGCTGCTGTGGTTTGAATGTGTCCCTACCAGAGTTCAAGTGTTGCCATTTGATAGTATTAAGAGGCAGGGCCTTAGGAAGTGATTAGAAATTAGGGCTTCCTCCTCATTAAGGGAATTAAGGCCCCTATAAAAGAGACTTCAGGAAGCATTTGGGTAGCTTGCCCTTCTGCCTTTTGCCATGTGAGCATGCAGCAAGGAGGCCGTCACCAGACCAAGAACCAGCCTCTTGATCCTGGACTTCCAACCTCCAGAGCTATGGAAAATTCTGTTGTTTGTTAATCACCCAGTCTGTGGTGCTCAGTGATAGCAGCTCAAAAGGGACTACAACAGTGTCAGTGTACTGCTTCTCTATATCTTGTGTTGATGCCCGTGGTAGTTTGTCATGTCATTGTTTTGGTTACCCAGGAGATGGCAAGTTCCCTGAGAATGGAGAGCTTGTGTGGTATGTCTTCGTGCCTGGCTCATGGTACCTATTCAATTAACACTTGAAAGAATGCATGACCGAGGAAGGTGCAATGATAGCACAAAGGGATTAGGGCCCAGGAAAATTGGTTTGGAAGTATAGTAAAGGAAGGGGGGTTGATGAGGATCTTGGAAGGTGAGAGTAGGTGACTGGGTGGCAAGATGGCTCATGATCACTGTAAAAATTTAGGGTTTTATTCTAGGTTATTTGCTCATTTTATTATATTCCCCATTCTGCTTCCCCTTAATTGGGAATTTAGAATCAAACTCTTAGTGATTTCTTTATACTTTAAATACTACTGTTAAAATAGAAACACCCCAAAGGCAGCTATTTTCTATGCTAGCTTTTAGTTTAAAATTCATTAGAATTATTGACTATTTTGAGAGTGGCAATGCATTGTTACTACTATTAATGTTGTTTGTAAATATAGAGCAAATGTGGGTTTTTAAACTTTGCATTTCATTTAAATTAACACATAATAATTGCACATATTTTTAGGGTACAATGTGATATTTTGATACATGTATACAGTGTGTGTAATGATCAAATCAGGGTGATTAGTATATCACCTCACATTTCTTTGTGTTAGGAGCATTCAAACCCACTCTTCTAGCTATTTGAAAATATACACTAATTGTTCATTATAGTCTCCCTACAGAACACTAGCACTTAATCCTGCTATCTAGCAGTAATTTTGTATTCGTTAGCCATCCTCTGGCGATCCCCTTCTTCCCCAGCCTTTCCCAGCCTCTAGTAACCACTATTCTACTCTCTACTTCTATAAGATCAACCTTTTAACTTTTGTATATGAGTAAGAAGCTGTGGTATTTGTCTTTCTGTGCCTGGCTTCTTTCACTTAACATAATGTCTGTCCTCCAAGCACATAAATATTGTTGTGAATGACAGGATTTAATTCTTTTTTATAGCTGAATAGTATTCCATCGTTTATGTATACCACCTTATCCATTCATCTGTTGGTGGACACTTAGGTTGATTCCCTATCTTGGCTATTATAAATAGTGCTACAGTAAACATGGGAGTCTAGATATCTCCTAAATATGCTGATTTACTTTCCTTTAATTATTATGAAGTAGTAGGATTGCTGGATCTATGATAGTTCTACTTTTAGTTTGCAAATGTGTTTTTTTTAATAAGAACTGTTAAAACTACATGAACTTGGGAACTTCCAGCAAGATAGTGACGGGGCAACCCGGTCTTTGAAAACCTCTGCAAAGGAGAACTGCAGTGGGTCTCTGACTCTTGCCCCGGGGACTACAGACCCCAACATCGCAGCCTGCTCTTCATATGAAGCTTGGCCGTTGCCACCGCTGGGGCATCACAGTGGTCTGGACAGCCACTGCAGCGCAGACACTGCCACCGCAGCCGCCACAGCCACCGCCACCGCCATGGCCGCCGGTAGCACATCGCACCACCCGGGCTGGAGGCGATCCACAACTTCAGTCCTTGAAGCCCCTTCAGGGAAGATCTGCTGGGATCACTGCCACCTCTCCTGCGACGGAGATGTCCTGCCTGCCGTAAGTCTCCTGCTGTCTGCCCTGAGGCAGGCAGCCAACTTGCCATCTTACCATCTTCAGCCTCTGCCGTCCCTATCCGGCCCCACCCCCTCTGGGGCGAGCAGCTGAGATAGCACCACCTGCTGGCGATTCAAGGTAACAACACCGAAACGGGAGAAACAAGCTTGATAAAGACACAGGCCAGAGTGGTGAACGGAGGGTGATCTGGGCTGTCCTTCACAGCAGACCAGGGGCAACTGACCCTAACTGCAAACTAATTTACCAGCTTGAAAAGAAAACTAGAATTCAGACCTGAAAGGACATTGGACTTAAACGAAATGTCTCAGAGTGTGCTTCATTGATTCTGTTAGTTTAATGACTTAATTCTATTCCTACTGTATTGTTCCTTTTTTTCTTTTTTCCTCTTCCTTTTCTTCTCTTTTCTTCTCTCTGTAAACCATATCTTTGTATAGAGGGAAAGCACACTAATAAGGTGGTTGGATAGCTGGTATGTTAGCATCACTATATGTTTTATTTTTGTCTGTATGAGAGTTGGTTCATCTGTAGCTGTGGTCTATTGTTTTTATCTGTTTCAGTATAGGCCTCTCTATTTGTTGGCACACTTGTTTGTTCCCCCTTACTCCTCTATCTCTCCACCCACGTCTTCAACCCACTGTCTGCTCCATTCTCTCCCCTCTGCTAACCACATTTTATTTCAGGGAGTAAACCTACAGCCCCACTGCACAGACAGATTCCAAGGCAGTAGGAAGCGGGTTCCAGATTATTCACACACCTGTCAGCGAATACCAGGACCTGCACATAGATTTTGAATCACAGCTCCCCCCTTAAGAAAATCTCAAAACTGCAAAAAGGACCGCCCCCAACCTACAATGCAACTCCAAAATTGAACAAAGTAAGAGGACATACATAAAGGATAGGAGATTGAACAAACAGAAGTAAAACCAATCCCTTTACCCTGAATAGCAGAATTAAAGAAGACGATGATGTGGAGGGAAGGAAAAAGTAGGGAGGAGGAAAAACCACACAAATGAAGAAAAACCAAAAGAATATAGATCTCACACAGACGCCTGGGAGATCAGACACTGAGAAAACAGATTCTGGAACACAAACAATGAAGAGCCCCCAGAATGACTGGTTACATGCAACAAACACAGACATCAAGACATTAATGGAGAGAATTTAAAAAATTGAGGCGAGACAAGAGGAAAATAGGAAGGAGCTGATGTCAGAAATGACAGCAGTAAAGAATACTGTGATGGAAATGAATAACAGACTAATAAGCATGGAAAGCAGAATCAGCCAAGCAGAAGAAAGAATCTCAGAGCTTGAAGACCAAAAACACAAAACTAACCCAAACTGTCAAAAGCATAGAAAAGAAGCTCAAAAAGATGGAACAAAACCTGCAAGAGATGAATGATCACTTCAAGAGACCAAACCTAAGAGTAATTGGGCTTCCTGAGGCAGAGAGAGAAACAGAAGCCACACTAGAACAAACATTTAATGAAATCATTCAAGAAAACTTCCCTCATCTCATCAAGGATGAAAAAATTCAAACTCAAGAGATTCAGAGAACACCTGCAAGACAACAAATGAGAAGACCAACTCCTAGACACATAATAATTTGCCTAAACAAAGTAACTATAAAAGAAAAAATCCTAAAGGCAACAAGAGAAAAAGGCCAGACTACCTACCACGGAAAACCAATTAGAATAGCAGCAGATTTATCCACAGAAACCCTTCAGGCTAGGAGAGCCTGGAACCCTATCTTCAAAGTTCTAAAAGAGAAACAATTTCAACCAAGAATAACCTACCCAGCCAAACTAAGCTTCATTAGTGAGGGAGAATTGAAATCTTTTCCAGATATCCAATCCCTAAGAAGCTACACTGCCACCAGACCACCTCTACAAGAAACACTTAAGAAAGTACTGAACACAGAAGAAAAAGAAAAAAGAACAACAACATTCTTCACAAGAGTACAGGCAAAAGATTAAAAACACACATGAACCAACTCCAAAACCCAAAGAAAGACAACAAACAAACAGGAACAACTCTGTAAGAACCTTGTGACAGGGATCAACTCTTGCATTTCATTTATTAGCCTAAATGTGAATGGACTAAATGCACCACTGAAAA